CATTCACACACAGAAGAAGGCAATGGCAAACCACTTCTGGATCATCTGCCAAGAACGTATATGAACAGGTCTCAGTCCGAGAAAAGGATGGAAGGATCCTGTTCATATGGACCTGTCGTCAGACAGAACAAACAAACAAACAAACAAACAAACAAAACAAAAAAAGAAGAAGAAGAAGAAGAAGAAGAAGAAGTTTATTAAGGATGGTTGTAATTTTTCTGTCACTTCATGTCATGGCATAGACATTGTTGGGAAAGGCTTGGAACGGCGATTAATAATACTGGTTTAATGAAAATATTATACATTTGACGAACACAGCTTACGTTTGAAGAGAAATGAAGTAATGAATGAAGTATCAGGTTACTCACAGCACATTCTAAACATGGTAGTTTGGTATTTTTTAAATCCTTCCTATCCAACAGGAGGGGCCATGTAATTTATTTCGTGTTTATTTTGATTGATTGGTTTTTTATCGTTTATTTCAGATACAGGAAATACTCCATTCTTGGGACCCGGAAAGCTCCACAGTTGGTAAGTTGATTCTATTTTGATCACAATATTGAAAATGTGCCGAGAAAATGACACTTATTTTCAGTAGTATCACATTATTATAATGAGACAGGATCATAGGAAGAATATAACATCCCGGTATCTTAAAAAAATTTAAAACGAGATTAGTTTCGGAAACTTTTGTAATTACGTTTTAATTCCCTTAACGGAATTTGCTAAATCTGTGACGGTTATGGTGGTGATGATGGTGATGATCAGTGCTGTTGTGACCTGTTTTTATGACGCCTGACCCAGAAGACAGCCATTTCCAGTGTTATTAGTGTCTCCAAATGGCTAGCTTCATTTTTAACCAGTCAACATACGTCGTGTCCCAGTTCAGCTTTGCTGTTCGCAATGAAATCCTATGGTTTGTCAAGAATACTGAATATCTTTGCCCCCAAAGTTAAGTCGTAGTTGTCTTTAAAGGGCAGACTGATCTCCAGGCGTTGTTAAGGAAACGTAAAGGATGAGATGAGTGGGTAATGCTGTACGCATGGCGAGCAAGGTTTTGGTGGAAGATCTCAGGATAAGACATCGCTGAGAAGACCTGGGCTTAAATGGGAGGACAGTTTTGAAATGATATTGGATTGAGTGACTGATCCCACCGAGGAAATGAATTATTGGAAAGTTTTTGTGAACGTGCTAATAAAGTGTTCATTGTTTCTCCATAAGAGATTAATTAAGAAGAAATCGAATCGTCTCTTTAAATTGGCGATTCTGGTCTCAATAAAAATAGAGGCGCATTGTGTGACCGACATGTCACGTGATGTGAAATTGTTCTAGGAACTAAGGTGCATAAGAAACGCTTCTTGAAAAGTTAATCTTTCTTTTCTGTATTCATTTGCTACACATCAGACGGATGTGTTTTGTCTGCTGCTTCAGGCAGGCTGGCCACCATTTATATAATTTAATTCCTTTGCATGTTGGTACTTGACAGTAAAAAATAATACTGTTACAACTGGATCCACACCCTCAGGGTAAACAAGATGTAAAGCTGTGCCGTTTATTATTTATATATAAATTTATTTATCCCCGAAGTTCATGATGCCACGTGAGCCCTTCGTAGACGCTCCAACGTACGTGGACTTGGTTTATTGTCGCGCGCACCGATTTCTTCAGTTTGGTTGCCGTCAGAGGAAGGTCGTTTTCACCGAAGCCGCTTTGTGTGGCCTATCTTGAGGGACAAAGAGGTTGAGGGAAGAAGTTGGCCGCTCACCTCCGTCTACTGCCGCAGCTTAATATGCGTGACGCCTAGTTACAGAGGCATCCTTAGATATTTGTACCGCCCGTAGAGTTCAATATTGACACATAATTATAAATTATATGATTAATTGTGACAGTTACAATTATTGCATATGAAGTGAATCAGTTACTACAATTAACAGTGTTAGTTAAAACATAGCTGTATTAAACGCCAGAAGGGAACGTGGGTTTTGTAAACACGCCAGAATCCGATGTCGAATTGTGTTTCTGAAAATTACGAAAGTCCTTTAAAAATTTCAATGTCCGTTGGGAAGCAGCCGCAGTGCTTGCTGCCTGCGTCATTAGGGCGACAATAGCAGGAGACTGTCAGCTCCTCTGAAACGTCGGTCGATCTCTATCGTCTCCTCGGCGCAACAACTAGAACACATGAAGATTTCTGTCTTCTGGGTTGTTGCGCTGTGTAG